TATTCAAAAATACTTTTAAAATATTAACGGAGCACTTTTGAATATTAACGGCTATATAGCGAGTTTTCTCAACATGGCTCAAACATAGAAATATGTTTGAAGCTAACATTAAATCATTTAGAACCAACGTTTTCGCTTTATTCTTTAGTACATAATATTGTAAGTGCAATCAGTTGTACGCAGATTGTCACTGGCTGTACAACATTATAGTACTTTATTGTAATTTCTTAATTATATACGTTGTTCATACTTACCATGCTAGAGATACATATTTCTTAGTTATAATTTGTTCCTGGGCTATTGTTAATTGATTTACTAATCTAATGACTAAAACCTGTTTTGTGTCTTTACAAAATTTATAAATAATAAATTCATAACAGTCCATAAATTTTTTTCATCTGTCAATGGCCTTTGACCTTGTATCTTACGTGAAACTAGCTATCAGAAGCTTAATGATGATAACATTTCCTTGTAAGTTTATAGACTTATTTAAATTCCGGTATGGGTCGCAAGAAAATGTTGTGAGATGAATAGGGTCGAGATCCGAAACATACAGACTGGAGTGTGGGGTTCGACAAGGCGGTATTACATCACCTAAGCTGTTTAATCAGTACATCGAAGGCTGAATAGTGAGCTCAATGATCCCATGGTTATATGCTTTATTAATGGAAAGTGTGTTATCGCTGGTGACATAGTGTTGTTTAACCAATCAATCAAAGCTTTTGAGCATATGTAAAAGTTATGCTGAGACCCTGCTTATTTTAAATGAAGGTGGTAAAAAATGTACACAGATTCCTCGAGTGAAACTTGGTGGCACAGCGCTAAAAGTGGTCTCTAGCATTAAGTATCTGTGCGGAGGCAAGAGTAGATACTTTTGCAGCTACTATTCTTAAATGAATTGCCTCCTTAGGTGTGCGACAGCTCGAACTGCATCAGTAAATATAGCTGAGGGATTGGACGATCCGATTCAGACACATATAAAAACCAACCATGTTATTGAGTCCGATAGTGCAACCAAATATTATTGTAATTTTTTATATTTATTTTGTCCTAATGGCTAATTTTATTTTCTAACATAGATCTAAGCATATTCTTACTAACAGTTATGGATTACTAGACTTCGTCCACGTTAACTTTAGTTTTTTGAGAATCCTTAACTCAGTTTTTTTTTTCGAGATAAAAGTATGATATGTCTCAATCCAAGTCATAAACTATATGCGTACTAAATTTAATCCATATCCGTTCAGTAGTTTTTGCGTGTTTGAGTAAGAAACAAACAAACATAGAAACTTTCTTATCTATAATATTAATAGATTTTTGATGGTCAAAAAGTAACAAATAAATAAAATATAAATAGTTCCAAAACACACACCAATCAGCCTAACCCCAAAGTAGGCACTTTAAAGGCTTGTGTTATGGATGCTAGGGTAACGGATAAAATACATTTACTTTACACATATATGAGTATATTTATATAAAAATACATATTAAACATCCATGACTGGAGTATAAATTCATCACACAAACATCTGCCCCCACCGGGATTTGAACCCGGGAGGGACCTCTCGAGTCAGCGACACCATGGAACCCGGCGTACAAACCACTCGGCCACGGAGGTCGTTATGATGTAATGTTTTTATTATTATTATACCCAGAAATGTATAGCCTATCTCAGTCAATTATACATCACAATAATAACATGATTCACAATCATACTTTTGGATGAAATTTGATACATAATACAGTTTATTACTCGCACCTACCTCAATTTAGACAATTGTATGCCTTTTTTTCGGCTCCTGTGGGATTCTCAAAAACTACCTAATTACATATACCACGGACGTAGTCGCAGGCGGAAGCTTCTATGATGTAAACAAAATCTAGTAATGAAATATTAAAAGAGAACCGAACATCTTCCTATAAATGTATCATGAAGTAAACTCAAGTCATTTTGTACGTGGATCACGTAGTCGCGTACAATTCGTTAGCTTCGAGGGCGCCTTATATGAAACTCATAACAAGTCACTTTGCCTTATAATGATCTCGATCTAAAAAACCGCTCTTCGTTACAAAACGACAATACGGTTTCTCAGCAAGTATATTTTGTTGTATTTGCACACAAAAAGTATTTTGTAAAATTTATTAATATGATATGATTGGTGATTCAGAACAGATATTTCTGATCTGAAAAAAGAGTTTATAGAACTAATGAAAATATGTAACTTGAGGTAATCAATGACGCAGATGGTTAGCGCATTTGGCCTGCGATCGTGAAAGTCAAACAACTTTCACAATAGTCGGTCATTGGATGGGTGACCAAAAAGGCCTATGCCCCTGCAGTGCGGACATTAATAGGTTGATGATGAAGATGCTGATGAAATCTATAATTATCTAGCAGTCAAATGCTTAAAAATAAATAAAAACATAACTATAATTGCCATTTCTTCTTCCAAATGTTTAATACTTGAAAAAGTATTCATTTAACATTGTGGGTTACCTACAATGCGAAGAGATGGCGCTGCCTTGCAGCTTAAGGCTAGGAAAATTTTGACGCGGCCATGAGGGCCGTAGTAGCATAATTGGTCAGTGCATTCGCCCGGATTGCGAAGGGTGCGGGTTCGAGTCCCGTCCGCTGCCTGGTCCGCGTGGATTTTTTTCTAGTAAAACTTTTCTTTAGGTTTAAAAAAACAAATCTATAATTGTTTATAGCAAATAAAAAAGATAGAAAACTAAATAAAATGCATGTAGAATTATTATTTAAACTTCCTTTGTCTCAACGAAACACAGTGCATTGTCTAATGCACTAAACCTACCGAAGGTTGTGCTGTACCGCCTCGATCTACATGATAAATTTACGAGCGGACTATTACAATGCTTGACGTATGACCGTTATTACCGTAACTTATCGATCTGCCAGTGTGTTTGTAACAACTAGATGACTATTGAGGATTTCCAACAATGTGATAGTTCAAGGTAACATTGCATTATAGTAAGTATCAAAGAATACTTTGCATTAATCATTATTATGCTTGATTAATAGCTAAAGCTGGTTGACAGGTGGACACCTATGGAGATCACAAATTACTTAGCTCTTCAAGGTACTTCTTCATTTTAGACGTCATTAAAATAGAAAAATATTGGTTCTAAAGAAAATATAACTAGAAAAAATTCCACGCGGACCAGGCAGCACCCTTCGCAATCCGGGCGAATGCACCAATTATGCTACCGCGGCCCTCACGGACCGCGTCGAAATTCCTCTAGCTATTCTTAAGCTGCAAGCATAATTGGTCAGTGCATTCGCCCGGATTGCGAAGGGTGCGGGTTCTAGTCCCGTCTGCTGCCTGGTCCGCGTGGAACTTTTTCTAGTTATATTTTCTTTAGATTTAAACATCAAGCAGTTACATGCTTTAAATAATAAAAAAATATAAAAAAATTGGATGTCTAAGCCGTTAAGGGTGATAATTTTACGTAATAACGTGTCGTTCGCTGATTTGTTTGAGGCATTTTTGTGGGGCTTTTTTTCCGGTACGTTTGAGCCTTAGCACGCCTCTGTAGCACTACGAGGACCCCAGTTAGACTCCGCGAGGTGAGATACTCTTCGCCGGTCGGGGAGGGGGTCAGTGGGCTAGGGGCCAGGGCAGGTCTGATGGGTTCTGGGAAGTCAGGGAGGGTTAGGGCGGCCAGGGTGGTCAGGGCGGAGGCGGGACGAAGGGATCCCTCGACCTCACCCCACACACCATGGAATATTGAATGAACTCGTGACATGACGTCACACTTTTTAGTGCATGCAGTCGGTGTTCATCGATTTATAAGACTTTATCATATTAAAAGACAAGTCGTCATCATCAGCCTATTGATGTCCCCACTGCTGGGGCACAGGCCTTCCCTGTGGATGGAATAGGGAGATTGGGCCATGACCCACCACGCGGGCCCAGTGCGGATTGGTGGGTGCTAACGACTGCAGATGTAGCCGGGACCAACGGCTTAACGTGCCTTCCGAAGCACGGAGGAGCCCGAGATAGTAATTTTTGGTCACCAATCCCATTGGATTGGTCATTACCGACCACTGCGAAAAGTTGCTTAAGTTCAACGATCGCAGCCGAACGCGCTAACCACTTGCGCCATCGAGAAAAGACAAGTAAGGCATAGCTAATTTGATTGATCGTCTGGAGAAATAATACACACACAGTTGGTGAGTAAGGTTTAAGAACTTCACAGGATAGCGGATACTGTTTAGGTCAAGAAGGCAAGGATGACTGATGCGGTACAATTGTCTGCTGCTTCAGCTATGGACCTGGACTCCATTTACACTTCACGTTAGTTGGGACTAGTATGCCGTTTTTTAAGAAGAGTGTGAGATTAGTAAATGTCATGCCGATTAAATTCTCTCAGTTCTAGGTCTCTTTCAAGGTGTAATAATAAAAAATCATTTTTTGAGGAGCATGGGTACAGCAATGGGATGTTACATCAGTGCATACGTTCAGCTATGTCCTGTGTGGCAAATCAATAGCATAGCTTTTACAAAAAGAAAAGAAATTTTGTATGTGCTTTGTACATTTGACCACGAAAAGTAGTGTGCTAGGTACTTATATAATTCGCTTAAAAAGATGATATCTCTAAAGAAGAGGATATTGCAAGCTTCTTGGAACCTCCCGGTAATGTCGAAAGGAAAGGGCCGGTCACAATAGTTACAATTCGACCATATTTCGTAATTATATTATAGTTTGATGAATAATTATTATTTCATACTCCAAAACCTCCTAAAGTAGAGTGTTTTCTAGTGTCTTTCATATGCACCGGTAAAAGAAATACATTGAAATACCAATACGAATTATTCATTAAGTAAATAATATGTTTACTTTCACAGTATCCTATGACGATCGGTTGCAATTTCCTCTGTCGCCGATAATCCGGCGGTGTTTAATTTCACGCCTCAGTTGACTGCTCTTGATGCATGGCAGTTGTATTCGTGTAGTAGATCTTGTGGACTATGCTGTGACATGGGGAGCCAAGGAGATTCATATTGTGGTGTTTTGATCTTGTTGTTTTTGTGCGGTAAGTGAGTTTTGATGAATATTACTATTCTTATATTAATAATAATAAAAGCCTTCATTCACTGACCAAATACACACAAGACAGTTTGACTTATATGCTATGGATTTTAAATCTAAATATTATATAAAAAAAGTATATTATTTAAATTGGTATTCTTCAGCAACCAGTTTGTTGGTCAGGTTCTCCTTTGACATAGGCCTCCCCTAGTTTCTTCCACTCGTCTCTGTCACGAGCTAGCCTTCTCCATCCTTTTGGTAAATGGTTTTCCCATCTTTTAATTTGCCGTCCTTTTCGCCTTTTTCCATTCCTAGGATACCATTCCATAACATCTTTCGTCCATTTCTCCTTGTTTGTTATTATGTATATTCTTATAGCTACATCTTACTTGTAGGGGAGCCTAAGCGGGGATTTTGAGATCTACTCGAATGAGGCAGAATGACAAAATGGGAGCAACGTCGTACCTTGTGAAGTACTCTCACCGGTATTTTTTCTGCCCTAGACGTTCGGCTTTACATAAAGGGCTCAGGTATGGTCAGAGTACTCCATAAGGTGCAAAGTTGCCTCCCTTTATGTTATTCTGCCATGCTTGAGCACGCCCAAAACCCCCGTTTTTAGAGTTTCGTAGTTCTGACAAGGAACCCTTATAGTTTCGTCATGTCCGTCTGTCCGTCCCCGGTTTTGTTTGGAGACAGTTAGCACTAGAGAGCTGCAATTTTGTGGAGAGATGTGTATCAATCACGTCGACAAAATGGTAGAATGAAATTATGAAAAACATTTTTTTAGGGTAGCCCCCTTACATGTAACCTGGGAATGATTCCAAAAAATAAATGTAATAGGTAGTATACTATCATTGTTATCCATAAGCTCATTAACCAATTTTAGTTGATTTTTACTAAGTATCTAGTTATAAAGTTAAAAGAACAACAAACACATTTTTATTTATTTTTCAACATATTTGCTAATTTCCAGAGGTTTATTATATGTTTTACGCAGAGCGTAAATTAGCAAATATTACCTCGTTTTTTTTACCGCACGCTCCGATATATGGCACCGTGCGTATCCTTTACGATTTTTCCGCAGTTTAGGGTTTCGTAGTTGCCTGAAGTTACCGTAATATATTTGAGCAGGAGTCTTTATTTTCTATATCGAAAAAAAGAAAAACAAATCAATCATTGTATATCTCAACTAAAGTACCTAAATCAACAATACTAAATAAAACTCGTGACTATGGTAACATTCATGCATGATGTCAAGTCCTGACATCGTCGATCCCACAATGCCTAAAGACGAAAGTCTTCAATCAGTGCGTTCTACCTGTGATGACATACGGAGCCGAGACGTGGACACTGACGGCACGGCTGGTCCACAGGTTCAAAGTCGCTCAGCGCGCTATGGAAAGGGCTATGCTCGGCGTTTCTCTGAAGGATCGCATCAGAAATGAGGTAATCCGACAGAGAACCAGAGTTATCGACATATCCCACCGGATTAGCAAGTTAAAGTGGCAGTGGGCTGGCCATATTTGTCGAATAACCGATAACCGTTGGGGTAGACGAGTTCTGGAGTGGAGACCGCGTCTAGGTAAACGTAGTGTAGGACGTCCTCAGGCACGATGGAGTGACGATTTGCGCAAGGTGGCTGGCAGGATCTGGATGCGAGTAGCCCAAGATCGATCTGAGTGGCGTGCATTTGGAGAGGCCCTTGTCCAGCAGTGGACTAAGATAGGCTGTTGATGATGATGATGGTAACATTCGTCTACTTGTTTGTAAAACCAAAATACTACACCAATATCATAAATAACTATTAGTTCTTAGATTATTTTTGTGCATCGGGGCTTATTTTTTTCAGATGTCATAAATTTGTTGGACTCTCGATACTGTGAGGAGGGAAGAGCGAGCAGCCTGCAGGAGGGGAACTTGGGTCAGAGTGGGACCTTCCCCTGGCTCGGCGTTCTGAAAGTGCATTTGCGTAAAACATTTTAATCATTAACTTTGAATCCAACGCATAATAACGCGTCGTCCATCCTACTCTTGCTTATAAAGTTTCAAATGACGTAAAAGATGACACGTACGACACGACGACGTTCAGTATTCTTATATCAAATGTTGATTTTAATAGTACCTACGCCCTCTTAATGTAAGAATGAGAGGCTTGTGTAAATCAAACAACTTTTACAATTTCAAGTCATCAGGTGGTTGATTAATCATTGTTTATTTCGTATTTCGGAAAACACGCTAAACAGTCAATCGCGTATGCATCTGCAGTCATTAGCGAGTTCCAAGCGGTGGGTTATAATGAAGTTATTCTTGTTTCAGATGAAGGAGATTCACTGAAGATAGCCATAACGGGCATTGTGCTTATCAAGGATAAGTATGCGCTCGGCAACGCCAACGACATCGTGAGGATACCACGCGACGTGTTCAAGTAAGTGAGTGAAAATCGGAGTAAAATCAAATTCAAAAGATAGCGCAACTCAGAATAGATGCTTGCTGATGTTCTGCCTTCTGATCTAGCATTTAAAAATAAATTATGTAACAGAAAGAGTAACGAATAGTGCATGAACTGTTCTGTGCTATTAGCATCCAGAAGTGTCCAACGGACTACGATCGGTTGTTGGTTGTCATGGGGTTCCGCCTACTGAGCGTCGTCTGGTGCGATCGCCACTAGGGGAACCATCCGCTCCAATCATTGGTTCTCCTACTGCCACTTCAGCAAAGCAATCCTTCGAGCGATGTCGATGACTTTAGTTATCCTTATATATATGAAGCGTTACGATGGATTGCATAATAACTTTAAGCTTAAGTTAGATTGTGTCTGCTGTTCAAGGGACGACAATATTACGCAAGCTCGGAGTACGGAACAAGGTGCGGCGTTCTATCACGCCTGATCAACTGTGCTTGTTGCACAAAACGCAAGTGCGTTTCTGAGTGGAATATTGTTCGCACGTCTGGGATGGCTTGACTAAGTACTTATCGATGTATAGTATAAGTGCGATGTGGCATCATTAAGCGCATTGTACCGACTATACCACGGCGAGTATTGTGAGGAGTTATTCTCCCTCATCCCTAAAATCAGCTTTTCTTCAGAGGACCACGTGCGCTGGCCTACTTTGTCACCGACTTACTGTGGCCACTATTACTACACGAATAAAGAAATTTGGTGACTCATTTCTTTGTCGTACTATTCGCAAGTGAAATTCTTTGCCCGCGCACGTGTTTCCTCTTTCCTTCAATCTGGAGTCCTTTAAGAGAGGCGTGAAGAAGCATTTCTGCAGTCCGGCAATGGGAGGATAGTTGGTGTGGCAGTTTATAACTGCTGTACTAGCTATCTTCGCGTTTGGATTCTATTACCAAATGAACCAAAATCAACCAAATGAATCTACCCACCTGATGTTAAGACATCAGATGGGTAGATTCATTTGCCTACCTGGCTATAAAAAAAATACCATCATCGTCATCACCAAACTATTTGTGTCCCCACTGCTGCAGCACTACGAATTCTTCCCTTTGAATGCTCTGGTGAGTTCTAACGTTGCAGACGGAGCCAGAACCAACAGTTTCACATGTCTACCGAAGCACAGAGGTGCTGGAGGTAATATCTTGGTCACCCATCCCTTAAAGTTGCTTTACAATTGCAGATCAAAAGCGACCAAAGCTTAATTCGTATCTTTGTAAACAAACGGAATCACAAGTTTTACTATCTTCGCTCTAGGGCTGACACGAAGGCTTTGTTCATACCGCAGAACAACGAGCCCTGGACCAGCGACGTTGAAGACTACATCACGCATCCGGAGTACGAGTACAGTAGCATCAACACCATCGCTGTTGTAGAACTCAAATTGGGCATTGACGACTTCAGTAAGTAGCCAGACGTAACTCTAAATCTGAGTCGAACCACTTGTGAATCACCTCCCTTCTCTGATTTGGTGACTCGTCAAAATTTTATTTTGTATTTTTTGAAGTTATACTTCTTTAGGAGCGTTATGAAAAAATTATGAGAGTGAAATTTTTAGATGCGCGCGCATCACTGTAACCCAAAAGTAACAGCATGAAGTTGGCCGCGGGCGCGTTATGAAAAAATCATGTGAGTGAAATTTCGAGATGCGCGCGCATCACTGTAACACAATAGTAACACCATGAAGTTGGCCGCGGGCGCGTTATGAATGTTAGTGTCTAATAATTAATTATTAGACATCTGTTCGAAAGGTACTTTGAACGATCCACGGAGCTCCATAAGATGATCGCGTTGTCAAAAACAATGTTGGCACGCTCGTCGCCTCTGATCACTGTTTTCATATTTATAATATTTATCCACATGTTTCTAGTTTCTATATAGACACAACGTGTTTTAGTTACTTACAAGTGCTAATTACATATGGACTAATAACTTAAATTCAGTAGTGATTTTAATTGAATATTTTGAATATTTATTTAATTTTTCAATTTAAAACTGAACTTAATTGACTGTGTTAACTATCCTTTTCCAGTCCTTTTATTATTTTATTGTAATTATTAATTATTTGCATGCAATTAAAAAAATATTTTTAATGATGCTAAAGAAGTATAACTTCTCACGCGCGTACATAAGTTACACGCATCCATTTTTTTTATATTGTTACATGTCGGGATGGGGTTTGAAATTATATGCCAGTTCACGCTTTTGGATTCGCTCCGAAATCGCTGTTGAATTTCAACTGTCTCTGCGCGGCGCCAATCGCGCTTATATATGCCGATCGACGCATTCTAGAAAGTACCTGTTAAATTGAGTATTAGCTAGCACCCGCGAGTACGAAGTACCTACTTATACCTACGCAGGTAACGAGCATAACTTGTAAACAAGAGCAGATGTCGTTGCACTTTCTCCCTTACGCCGCACTGCATAAGGCTCATTTTAGAATGAGCTGCATTACTCGACCTCTATCGCGACCCGCGGTGTACTGGCAAATTCGATCTCTAGCACTTTCGCGGTTACGTTTCGAGAGCGTTTGTGACAATATCTCTATTATGGGGGTCACAGGCCTAACTACCTTAATTCCGGCCCTGTCAGAAAGTAACAGCCTAGCATCATACATTTTGTAGCAGATAAACAACGGACTGTGTATATTAAACGGAGACCTTGTCTTGTTTGCGAACAACATAATCTTAGATCCAACGAAGGTCAAATGTTGCGTCACTGAGGTCATCTTGTACTGAGGTGATTTTCAGTGATCCATCCATCATCAGCCATCCATTTTTAGGGTTCCGTACCTCAACAGTAAAATTAATATTTTGTAATTTTTGAGTTTATTTATATGACCCTAACTACCGTAAACTACCACCGGTAGCTCGAATAATTAAATAAACGTTTGATTCTGACTACGTAGCCTGTAAAGACTACGAAACGTCAATAAATAAATAAAGTTTCGTACATTAACCCGTAAAATCTAGTTTTATTTAATGAGTGATGTGCGTGAAAACCTAAGAAACAAATATTTCATATAGTACTTTGATACTCTGACAACTTCAGCTGTGTGGTAACTTAATCTAGTACCTTCTTTATTACCTATTTCAAATTTTTATAAGACACTTTATCAATCTTTCTAGTACAGTTCAAACCGATATGCTGGCCGAAATATTCCTACAACACATCGAATCATCTTTACGTGGTTGGATACACTGACGGTATGTTGATATTTTTCTTACCTACACCATATACACCTTATTTTATTTCCAGCTCATTGGGTTGTCTGGAAGAAATCGCTCATTAGCGATAAGACCGCCCTTTGTGCAATGTTGTATTTTTCTACTTGTTTTGTTACTGTGTTGTGCAATAAAGAGTTTTTATCTTATCTTATCTTATCATATACATAAATTAATCCTTCTGATATTATTATTATCAGGATCTGAGTCAGGATCTGGTAGGTTTTTTGCTCAACGCATTATTTTGGCGATGTAGGAAGGTAACGTTGCCAGTTTTGCGGGACAGTGTCTGGAACAGGCGAACTATACGAAATATTTATAAATATAATTTCTGTAATTAATAATTGTTGTAACTATTGTTGTCATTAAAAGTTTGTAAGTATGTTTGTTACTTGAGAACGCAAGACGGCTGAATGGCGATTTGCATAAAATTAAGCTCACATACAGTTTAATATCTGGATTTTAGGTTTCCAGAAAATTTTAGGTTTCTCTGAAATTTTCTAAAAACTAACTATAACGCGGACGAGGTCGCGGGCAAGCTAGTATTAATATAAATTAGTAGTAGCTCCATATAGCCCTCTGTTTCTTGTGCTTGAACTTTGAATTCATTTTAATGAATTTTAGTAAAAAGATATATGTATTACCGGAAACTAGAGTGGACATAGGCTTTTGTGAAATAGGGGTTCTTTTTGACGTGATAACGTCTCATAAATCTATAAAATAATAAATAATAATAATATAAATAAATATTTCCAACACTCAGACCAATTAGCCTAGCACCAAGCTAAGCACTATAAGGCTTGTGATATGGGATACTAGAGTAACGGATAGAATACATATATACTGTACGTATATAAGTATATTTATATAGAAATACATATTAAACATCCACGACTGGAGTACAAATGCTCGTATTCATCACACAAACATCTGCCCCCACCGGGATTCGAACCCGGGACCTCTCGAGTCGGCGACACCATGAAACCCGGCGTACAAACCACTCGGCCAAGGAGGTCGTAGATGAATACCAGCTGCACGTCCGAAAAAGTGTGACGTCATGTCACGAGTCACAAGTTATTTCAACGGTCCGCGGTGTGTGTGAGGTGAAGCCGAAAAGTTCCTTCGATCTCCCATGACCCCCTGGCCCCCTGACCCTCCTCTCCTTCCCTTGAAGAGTACCTCACCCCTGCGGAGCCTAACTAAGGCCCCCATATAGCTACAGAGGCATGCTTCGGCTAAAACCAACCGGTACAAAAAGCCCCACAAAACCGCCCTCAGGAAAACAGAGAACGATACGTTATTACGTATAATTATCGTCCGTAAACCGACTTTAAAGAAAACCAATTATTTTTTTATAGAAATACAGCAAAAATAAAATTGCTATTTCTTCTTTCGCAAACAAATGAGAATCAATAGATTCTCAGTTAGTCTGTAATCTGAGGATATAAATACTTATGATTTTATTTATTTTTAAAGCATTTAACTGCTAGATGTTTTAAATCTAAAGAAAAGTTTACTAGAAAAAAATCCACGCGGACCAGGCAGCAGACGAGACTCGAACCCGCATCCTTCGCTATCCGGGCGAATGCACTGACCATTATGCTACCACGGCCCTATTAGCCGCGTTGAAATTTTCCTAGCCTTAACCTTTTTTTTCTAGTAAACTTTTCTTTAGATTTAAAACATCTAGCAGTTAAATGCTTTAAAAATAAATAAAATCATAACTATAATTGCTTTTTCTTCTTTCAAATGTTTAATACTTGAAAAAGTATTCATTTGACATTGTGGGTTACCTACAATGCGAAGAGATGGCGCTGCCTTGCAGCTTAAGGCTAGGAAAATTTCAACGCGGCTAATAGGGCCGTGGTAGCATAATGGTCAGTGCATTCGCCCGGATAGCGAAGGATGCGGGTTCGAGTCCCGTCCGCTGCCTGGTCCGCGTGGATTTTTTTCTAGTAAACTTTTCTTTACATATAAATACTTGTAAAAGTATTTCGTCTAATATTGAAAATTTAATGGTCGCTCTAATGCTGTTTTATTTATTTTCGTAATCAAGAAAACAAATTATTAGAGAAGGAGATCCACAAGTTGCAGTTTGTGAAGCAGAAGTACTGTGACGAGTTCTACTCAAGGGCTGGTGTAAGTTTTTCAAATGAAATTTAACTTACATTACATTTTGGTCTAAATCTTTGGTGAATTATGTTAATAAGCATAAGACGATTTAAATCTTTGAGAATAGGTAGGTACTTTCAATGATTCTGAATGAAAACTTTGATGAAATATCATCATCAGCCTATAATGTCCCTACTGCTGGGGCAGAGGCCTTTCCTATGGAAGGAATAGGGAGACTAGGACGTGACCCACCACGCGGGCTCAGTACGGATTAGTGGGTACTACACATGCAGATGTAGTTGGGACCGACGGCTAACGTGCCTTCTCAGGAGTGTTGGATAATATGTTTTTGTAAATAGTTCCCATTGGAAGAGAACACACACACACACACACACACACACACACATACACACACACACACACACACACACACACAGCACACACACACACACACACAGCACACACACGCACACACAGCACACACACACACACACACACACAAAATCTCTTATCTAATAGACAAGTCCGTCCGTCCGTCCGTGGTGCTGTTTCAGCGGCCAAACCGTAAGAGATAGATATAGAGAATGTTTAAGTTATAAGTTGAGAATAGTCTGATAAGACTACAAACCAGATGTGAGTAACGTAGCACTTCCGGTTTTCGAGAAATCACGTGATTTCTATTTTAAACGAAACCACACAAAATCTCCGAAGTTCTCAATTAATTAAATACATTTTTTTTTGGTGAATATTTGGTTCACTGGTTTGCTAGTTTAACTTTAACTAGCTCTTTGGTGTAACTCCCGCTATAATATATTTAGTTCCTTGATTTAATCATAATATAGCGAATGGCCTTACCATAATGTAACTTATGTTATGCAAGAGTGGTTCTTTTTGGTATAGGTGTCTTTACACTTAAAAAATAAGCCTACCTTTATTATGTAACCAGATGTATGGTAAAGAAATAAATCATTTTTATTTTTTAGAACACGTAAGCGTATTTGCGGATACTACGACTATGAAATTAGTCATCAAATTCCTTTGATATGGTTTCGCGGTGATGAGTAAAGTTACAAGGTCCCATGGGGTAGGATGGGGTAAGGGTTAGGGTAGACAACTAACAAAACTCCAGCATACAGCTGCTACTATTATTCAATACAAAGCTACTACAAATGTCAATAAAGCCATTTATTTTCTTTTGAAGTACTCCCAGAACTCTTAAGACGTGTTTTAAACTTCCATGGTTACTAACACTACATTAATTTATGTTATTAACGGGATTGCTACCATGTACCTTGTTTTTTACGAGTCCACGATATTTAACTGTTGCAAGCGCCATAGTTGTCAGGTGTCAAATTCTTTGGAGTTTGACAGCTGGACGCGATATGAGACGTGATACAATGTGAATTGTGGTGCTCATGCTACGGGGGCGGGATCAATTGAACTTGCCTAATTTTCTTTCGGAAATAATTTTAATGTCAATAATTGTTTAAGTAAAGTTCAATGTAAAAATTGTCGAAAGAGCGAGTATCCCCTAATCTCTTATCTATTAGACAAGTCCGTCCGTCCGTCCGTCTGTGGTGCTGTTTCAGCGGCCAAACCGTAAGAGATAGATAAAGAGAATGTCTAAGTTATAAGTTAAGAATAGTCTGATAAGACTACAAACCGGATTTGAGTACTACGTTACTCACTCACTTCCGGTTTTCGAGAAATCACGAATTTCAAACGAAACCACACAAAATCTCCGAAGTTCTCAATTAATTAAATACATTTTTTTTTAAATCAGGTTTTGGTGAACATTTGGTTCACTGGTTTGCTAGTACAAGTATAATACTTAAAAGGCAATACTCAACAACATGTTTATATGGAACTTGTAAGCATTAAAGAATTAATTCATTTTTTTTTTCATTTTTCATAGTCACGAAGTACTCTTCAGACTTGTTCTTTGTCCAGTTGAAAGGCAACAAGCTGCAGCCGCTGCACGTACAGTGCGCGTTCTCTGAGCATGCGGCGGTGGACTGCGTGTGGGAGACGGGTCAAGTGATGGCGTCCAATGCTACCGGACACTGGACTATGGTGCGAGATCATCATCATCAAAATTTTCATGATATGTATTCTATCCGCTACCCCAGTATCTCCTAATAGAAGCCTTACAGAATTTACTTTGCGGTTAGTCTCATCATCATTATCAGCCTAATAATGTGCCTAAAATCTTTATCTCGAGTTCCTCCGTGCTTCGGAAGGCACGTTAAGCCGTTAGTCCCGGTTGCATCCGCAGTCATTAGCACCCGCCAATCCGCACTGGGCCCGCGTCATGGCCCAATATCCCTATTCCATCCATAGGGAAGGCCTTTGCCCCAGCAGTGGGGACATAAAGAGGCTGATGATGATGATGATGATGATGGATGGAATAGGGAGAATGGGCCATGAGTCCATCACCCACCACGCGGGCCCAGTGTTGATTGGTGGATGTTAACGATTGCAGATGGAACCAACGGCTTAGCGTGCCTTCTGAAGCACGGAGCTGCGCAAGATAGTGCATTTTTGGTCACCCATCTAATGAACGACCAATCACAGGCCGAATGCGTTGATAAACTGCGCCATCGCGCTCATCTGTAATGATCATTTACATCTCTAGAAATAGCAATATAAATTTAACCAAAGAATCCTGTACAGGACAGGGATAGAACTATCTGTTGATAGAAATTAGAGCAACTAAACTATGACCAGGAAACCTTGGCAATGATTACATTTCCAGATTGTATGATACTAATATATCTCATTAAAGTTAAGACATACAGCAATATTATGCAGGTGCAATTAGAACTTTGCTATTGAGGCTCAACTATAGAGAATAGAACAACTGGAATATGGTGTGAGATACGTAGCAATGATAACAACGGTGGAAAGGCCTTCCCTTACACGCCCCTTTGGTCCAAAATGAGTTTCATACATCCTTTTCATCAGATTTTATTCTACATATGTTTATGTTTTGTGAATATTTGAGTACTTTTTTAGCGCTTAAGCAACTCCATGTTTTGATTTTATTTTGTTTACGAGCGACATAGATTTTGGTGTTTTTGAACCAACGGCGCTTACGCCCTATTATATTTGGCGTATGATTTGATGTTTGCTTGACAAAAAAATGTATGACGGGCAGAGTGATTTTAGCTTAAGCAATATCTAATTCGTAAAGTAAATGCACTATGTAAATTTGTAATAGGAGGATATTTAGAAAGTATTACTTTATAAACATGTTTTCTTTTGCAATGAGTTGTCTTTTTTGTAAAAAAAAATCTTTGTTCGTCTTTTCTGTAAAGTTACTAAAATGGAGTTTAAGCGATTTTGCTTTTCCACTGTTGATAACATCTCTAGATTTAACAGTACAAATATGGTAATAGAACTTTACTGTTAAGGCTCGAAATAGAGCAACTGTAAGCTTAGTAGTCATCATCATTATCACCAGACTATTAATGTCCAGACTGCTGGGGCACAAGCCTTCCCTATCTATGGATGGAATAAGGTGATTGGGTTAAAACCACCACTCGGTTTAAGAACGATAGTTGCTAACGACTACAGATGCAGCCAGGATCAATCAAAATCAAAAATTGTCACCCACCGGATTAATGTGGAAGTTATGCTCCATGAACACAAACCAAACGTGTCAACCACTTGCGCCATGAAACTATGGCGTGGGAAATAGTATTATTTGAAAACTAGCTGACCCAGCGAACTTCGTACCGCCATAAAAAAAATTAATTAAAAAAACATTGTCCAGCGGACAAAATTGTGAATCTAAACCATTCTCAGATCCCCTTGAACACAGACAAAAATTTTCATCAAAATCGGTCCAGTCGTTTAAGAGAAGTTCAGTGGCATACACACTCACAGAAGAATTATATATATAAAGATAAAGATATGCAGTTAGCACAAATAGAGTTGTAAGTTAAAATTAAAAAGAATTATGAAATTGGTAAATTCGTTCTGAAGTTATAACGTGACTTTATATTTCGCTAATATTTTCTCATTACCGGTTACACTGTTTAATGCTTTTCCTGATGATTTGAGGTAATCTGGTGGACAAACGTTTGAAAGGAAAGTGACAAAAAATACTTCTTTTAAACAATACAAAAATATTTTAATTTCAATAAAAAAATACGAACAACTTGGGTTCGGATGTCTTCCTTTTTGTAGACAATATAAAACATTTGTTATTTTTCATAAATATTATAATCTGCAATTTGCATGCTTAAAATTAAGTATATGTTGAAGAACCGATGTTATAACGAACACCTTATTATGCAGTGGAAATGGATGCAAATGAACATTTTCATTCATTCATTCATATTATAAAACTAGCGACATTTTCTTTCTGGTTACTCTCTATTTTGAACCCGAAATCTGGAGCTATGTTAATGTGCAGATAGGATTGGGAATCCGAGGACCAGGATGCGCGGCGCCAGCTCGCTTCATCAGCTTGTACCCCTACATCGTCTGGATCCAGACCACCACAGACTTGGAGCAGATCAGCGACTACAGAAGATCAGCTTTTGGCACCGGATTCAGAAAAACTACGCGACCACAAAAGACAATCGGTAACTAGAAGTTGCCCGTCATCTACTTGCATGAATTGGGGATGATGACAGGGGAAATTAAACTAAATTCTATGTAATCCGTCATTTGCATCATCATAAATAATGGCTTATATCAATCAATAAAAAAAACCAAAGATAAAGCGCCTCAATGTTCGGGAGAGCGGGGCTTCATACGTGACGTCACTTCTAAGTAAAAATTGTACCTAGATTTGACATCATGCGAAATTTTACATCAACATATCTCTATTATACATAGACGAAGAAAACATTTTTTGTCATCATCCCTATTATTGGTAGATGTTCATGAATATAATCTTTGTGTAAATATTCTATCAGTGGACAGCTTTTGTAATAATATAATAACAATGAAACAAATACTCTTTTATTTGTAATTTCTCTATCCAGAGTTTAAATCGAAATCTGAATTAGAAAATAAATTATTATTAAATTACTTTAAGGTGAGTTCTTTGTGTGTAAATAAAATAATCATATATATCATACTCGTATATATGATGAAAATGTTAGTATCGAATTTAACATTGCAGCAAAGGTGAGTATAGTGTACATACATACTAAAGTTTCTTTTAAATCAAATGACAATGTTTTTAATAGTTAATAACAGTTTGATAACAACTAATTCTTCTGCCCACAACTTTGCCTGCATGTAAGTGCTATAATAATACATTGGAGATTTTCTGTATTTTCTTACAATCCATTAAAATAGTTTTGTTAATCGTTAATCAAGTTTGTAGATTTGTAATAGGAATTTTAGTTTCTATTAGACTACAACAAAATTCTTATGTCAAAGAAATAAACAATAATTTAAAAACAATAAACCTAAACCTTAATCACCACTAATATATGAGATAAGAGATAAGATAAGATATATTTTATTAATCACACACATCATACAGGTAGGTATAGTTACAATTGATTTTACATTTATGTGTAAAAAAAAGTGCGTGATCTGGAGCCTAAACTACGACCGACCCTGTATTTCAGGACTCCAGCTGGTATAAAAATATATACTATTAATCGTTGTACTAAATTTTAATCGTTCATTATTATTTTTTTTTTGCCTAAACGGTAGGACACGTCATTCCTAAACTTTGTTAAACCAGTTTTTTATATATATTTTTTTTATTTTATAGTCATAATTTTTATATTATTTGCATTTTTTTTTTGTTTGTAATGGAAAGTGACTTCATGAGTTACCTCATATTGAAGTCATTTTTCAATTTGACGACTCTGTATGTATAATTATAATACAGGGAGAAAAAAAAAGGCCCTTGCTGAGTTTCTTGCGGGTTCTTCTCAGTACAAGGTCTCCCGCCGTAGATTTTGAATTTGAATTTTGAATTCTGTATGAAATAATGTTTGCTGTAATATGTTTTTAGAAAAATCTTCAAAAATACGAGAAGTGCCCATTCATGATACATTCTTACGTGAAGACAACGATGAATACAAAAATGCAACAGTAGATGATGCAACAGGGGAAAATGCAACAATGGACAATACAACAGCGGACAATGTAACAGAGGACAATGCAACAGAGGACAATGCAACAGTGGACGATGCAGCAGTGAATGATGTTACCACGATTGACAACAATGAGATTGAGAGCTCTATGGACCCGGCCACCGTGTTGCATCCGTACCGCATCAAATTCGACGACGAAGAATTTTTCAAAGTCGACAGAATTGATGAGGATGCTATTAATATTAGCGTTTGTAAGTATTACCTAATTTCATGTTTTATTGTTTCGTTTCTCGAAATAATAAAAAGTCGGACAATCGGAAGTCAGATTTATCCGCTCGGGGTTCCGTACAAAATTGTAGGTACGCAGCATAAACGGCCATATCTTGTTTTAACGTTAACCAAGAAGTATGATTTTGTCACAGATTCTGGGGCCTATTGACTTGAGTATATTATTTAAATTTCAACTCGATACCTTCACACGCTCCCGAAGTGAAGGGTCTGATAGACAGATGGACAGACGGACACTCTAGTGATAGTGGCTGAGCCTCGTTTAAATAAAATAACATAGTCTTGTTTTATTCAGACTATGGGTCTGTTTTTCAGTTGGAGATAAGTATGAGAACGCGCCCGAAGCTTGCCAAGCTGAGAAAACCCTCATATATAAGGATCGGACCAAAATAGTTTCCAATACATGGATCGGCAGCGGTGCATATAGGGTAAGATCTATCAGTTTAAGGGAGTTGGAGACTTGATGGAATGCGATGCAATTGAAACATGACTAGGATAGGGCGAGTATCAAAACTCGATTTGGCTAGGAAAACAAATGCTCCTGTTTAAAAGATGAAAAAAAAACGGAAGAGGTTCTCAAATCGACGAGTATATTTTTTTGTTTTCTTATGTATAACCGAGTATTATTTTTTAAACAGGAGTCTGATTTTGAGAATTGTTTTTTTTATTGGAAAGGATATACCCTAAAATTAGTCCTATATAAAGTTGAAAATAAAATCCAACAATATCTAAGTAATTTTGAGTCGTAGCCAAACAATCAATGAACAAAAATCACTAAATTATTCTAAAACAAAAGAAATGTCATTGACAACGCAAATTTAAATGTCCAGCGATAAATAAACATTACCAAAAAAAATATTGTCATAGTCATAGTCATAATATTTATTGCATCATGTTGGTTACATTTAGTTCTTAAATCTAATAACAGCTCGCAAACATGAGCCCTGCAAGGGCATTGCTAATTATAATAAAAGTATACATATATTAATTTAAATTTTGATAAAATTACAATATAATAACAATTTAAGATGATTTTATTAGAAAAATAAAATTAGTAAATAAAAAATACAATTTTAAAATTAATTCATATATTACTTTAATCAATTGTAAAATACATTTAGGGTTAGTTTAAGAAATGTATGTCATTCAAAACTATAAATAAATAAACAAGTAATATTAATAACATTCAAAGTAATAATCCATTCAAAAAGTGTGTGTTCAAGGGGATCTGAGAATGGTTTAGATTCACAAAGACGTGTAGACAGGACAACGTCTGTCGGGTCCGCTAGTATTGTTATATAATATGGATGAAAAACTAGCATATAACCAGCCTGATGGTAAGTTGCATCTTGAGCTTGACTTATGATATCAAAATATCACTGGCGCCATTGCTAGCTTGTGTTTAAACCTTGGATTTTTTTTCAATATGTAAATTTTTGTCTAATTGCAGCTCACGGTTTACGATATGATGGTGATGGGCTACACCTGCATTAAAGTTCACGTAAGTTAACTTAAAAATAGGAAAGTACTTACAAATTATATATTTATTGTAAGGTTTAAGTAGGTACATTAAAACTAGCCATCTCAATGAGCTAGAGCATAATCATAATGAAAATCATTTATTCAGTTTAGGTTGTTACAAGCACATATGAATGTCTAGAAGCTAAGCTATCGGTTTGTAAATCTACGGCGGGAGACCTTGTGCTGAGAAGAACCGGCAACAAACTCAGCAAGGGCTGTTTTTTTTCTCCCTGTTTTATCATTTACAGAGTCGTCAAGTTGAAAAACGACTTCAGAGATGATTCATGAAGTCACCTATTATTACATAATGTGAAATTATACATTAATGTTCACCTGCATTTTGATTGCTGTGTCACACAGGATAAATACAAATAGAGTTATTTATAATAGGTGTAATTAAACATTTACATTTTAAATATCAAAGTAGTTAGGGCAGACTCATCTCCGCTGGCAGCATCCGTTCTCGAGCATGACGCAGGAACCAGCCATCGCTTCGCTCAACCATATTTTAGGGAATGTAACGACCCGCCTCACACGACGCCGCCAGCCAAATTGTAATCCCGTACTCTTCCAGTATTGTAGGTCTTTTCCTTGAAATATAAAAGGAATTTAAGTGATCTGAACAAGCCTAGTTCAAGCTTATTCATTTATTAATAAGATCGTCGTCCCTTAGGTTGAATCACTTTCTCACGAACGAGCCAAAATTTGGTGGAGAACCTCCATCGACAAATATGAGGCCACCAGATTTGAGGACCTCGGCTATTTAGCCAAGAAAGTGATCAAGGTACAATCTGATAACTTTATTAATTTTACTCAAATACCATTACTTACACTTATACAAACCTTCAATAAAATGTATTTATTTATTATCAACAAGTTAAAAATTTAAAAAGAAACATTTAAAAATTGACACTCGACTCTAGAGAAACGAAGAAAATGTGCCGACATATTGTTGCTTCATAAGTTGCTTAATGGAAAGATTATTGTACCTGTTAAACTTGCTTAAATTTATTTCATAGTTCCAAGAAGAATTCCACGTTATCCAATATTGCCATTTACAAAACCTTTTTACCGAACCAAGATAGTAGCACCCCTAAGTCCATTGATGGAGACGTGTAACGATAAATCCGATGACATTGATATCTGTCACCTATATTTCCCAGCATTGAAAAAGAAAATACTTTCGATTGAGTTACAACTAACTTACCTCATATAAATATTTAAACAATTATGTACTTTAAAAACTAAACTTGTGCCAATAATATATAGATATTGCTGTATGCACCTCAAAAAATAATTCACATAGACTGGTAATACCTATTTGTTTCTTAGGTTTTCACGCATATCACTCATTAAATAAAACTAGTTTTTCACGGGTTAATGCACGAAACTTTATTTATTTATTGACGTTTCGCAGCCTTTACAAAAAAAATGATTCCGACGAAGCAGCCCGTAAAGGCTGCGAAACGTCAATAAATAAATAAAGTTTCTTGTAATACCTATTTGTTTTTCTTTTTATGTATAATTGCTATATTGTTATTGGTGTGTCAAATAAATAAAATAAGTAAAGTTTCAACAGCGTTTTACACAATATAATCTAACATAATTTTTTAAATGGTACTTTAGCTAATTACAGAAACTCACTTTGTATCAATTCAAAAATTAAAACGATTACGTAGGGTAATAATTACAAATTAATAATAATATAAAAGAAATACCAACATCAACAAAGATTCAAATGCATTTTATTCATATATTTTGCGTTAAATATACCTACTAATACCTTTATAAATAAAAATTATAAATGAAGCTTGATAACTAAATTTGTGTAAATGAGTGTGTACGTGTAATTGGTGTGTGCGTATATATAATTAAATACTCCTCAATAATATAAATAAGTAAGTTAAGGCGAATAAATAAGTAAAAAAGGATTCGAAATTGCTCCTTCGAATCCTATCTCAAATCACCTAATTAATTAAGTAGAAAAAAAATCTGTTGTCCTGCAAATCTAGCAGCTTAATAATTAAAAAACTTACAACTATTTTAAGTACTCTAATAGCCGTACCTTAACAAAATTTCTTTTAATTTACCCGAATCCTTCGTTCAAGATTATCCCAGTGAAGCCTCGAATGCCTCATCGAGTCTCGAACGAAACCACGGCATCATCCAGGTGGTCCCCCGCGGAGACTCTGGAAGCGCAGCACGTGGTGGACCAACGAGACTACGAGGGTCTACAGAATGTTAACTTGCTCATAAGGTCAGCATCAGTCTATTATTGTCACCACTGCTAGAGCACAGACCTGCCCTATTCTTCTTCCTTCTCTTTTCTTCCTTAGGGATGGTCTTTGCTGACCAACACCCACTGTGCGGACCAACAAGACTACGAGGGCTTCCGGAACATTGACTTACTCGTAAAGTCACCGCTGCTAGAGCACAGATTTTCCCTATGGAACTGTTTTCTTCCATAGGGAAGGTTTGTTCTGACCAAGACCCATCATGCGGAGCGAGATTACGAGGGCTTTCAGAACATTAAATTACTCGTTAGGCCATCCATCAATAGAAAAACCATTAATAACCCCATCGATGGGACTCAGGTTTTTGCCTATGGAAAGAAATAGATTTGACTAATGAGACTACGAAATCTTCGAGAATGTTAACATGCTCATAAGAGGCTCAGGCCTTTCCCATGAATGTAATAAGGAGAACAGGCAATCATCATTGTTATCCCATCAATATTACCCCTGGTGAGGCACAGGTCTTTCTATGAAAGGGAATAGATCTGACCAACCGCAGGACTAACGGGAGAACGACTAATGAAACGAACTCCAGAACGTTAACTTGCTCATAGTGTCATCATTCATCATAAGCCAATTAATGTCCCCACTGCTGGGGCACAGGCCTTCCTTATGGATGGATTAGGGAGACTGGGCTGACTGCAGATACAACCGGGAGCAACGGTTTAACGTGCTTTCCGAAGCACGGAAGAGCTCGAGATAGTAAATCTTTAGTCCCCATTCCAATGTCCGACCACTGCGAAAGCTCTATAACTTCAACGATCGCAACCGAAAGCGCTAACCGCTTGCGCCATCGAGCTTGCTCCTTCTGTGATCATTATCATCCTTTTAATGCCGCTACTGCTGGAGCATAGGCGTTCCCTATGATTCAAGACAGCCCAGTGCAGATTAGTGGGTGCTGACGATAGCAGATGCAGCCGGGACCAACGACTTAATGGAGGCAAGTTAAGCCTTTGGCCCCAGCTGTTTCTGCAGAAGCAAAGTTTGGAGGAGTAAGAAACTATAAATTTTATATTCTGGTTTATTTATAAGACTGCGTAATGGTCGTCCTTTAACTATATTATTCCATTCCTTCTTATTTTGGAAGGCATAGTTAGTCTGTTGATTTTTGTTGCGAGGCTCGCGTAATGTATTAAGTAAATCTGTCTAAGTTAGGTAACTTATGCCAAAAAATTATCTATATGGTAACTATATTCTAAAAGCAGTATGTTTTAATCGAATTAAGTCCGTATCTGTCAACTAAACATCCATCTTATTAGAAATTACGTTCCTCATATCAACAGGTTTACGTTTCGCAAAACGGCCGTTTTGAAGATTTCCATCTACGGTCCCCCTTACCCATCGTTTGGATTCACCCTGGCACCAGAACCTGACGAAACGACAACACCAAAGTCCCTTCGTGACCTCACTGAATTATCTGAAGATTCCGACGAAGACTATCAACCTACCTTTTCACCTAGAAACACAATTAAAACTATTAATGAAACTAATACCCCACAAGATTTCGATGATATAAATAGAAATATTTATAAAACTGATACACCAAAAGAATTTGTCAATACTAAGTCATATGAAATTGCATCTACGACAACTGAAAGGAAATATCGTATGGCAAAGTATAAAAGACCTTTAGAATCCAATAATCTGATGAAGATACCAAGATTAAGGACTAGGTTACGTAAGGCGATGCGAAGGCGAGCCGAGAGAAGATACATAGATAGAATGCGCGGAGAAATGAAATCAGGCGAATAAATAAATATTGGAAATGATAATGATATTATTTTTATTTTTAAATTTCCCAGTTGTTTCTTCTTTTCCCATAAAGTTCTTATTTGAAAACTTAGTTTTGAATGGTCTTTAAAATTCTAAAAGATAAATAGAAGATTCACCAAACCCAGAATCCCATAAATCCTCCTCTTAGTTTTAATTGTCTAAACACAATACAGATATTGCGATGCACGAGCACCTGTTTTATGATTTATTTACCTAAGAAACTAAACGATAATGGAAAAGGTACAGTAATTTGTCTTTTGCAACTTGCAAAAATTAGTAGTAAAAAAGCAGCATCTCTTATCTATTAGACAAGTCCGTCCGTCCGTCCGTCCGTCCGTGGTGCTGTTTCAGCGGCCAAACCGTAAGAGATAGATATAGAGAATGTTTAAGTTATAAGTTAAGAATAGTCTGATAAGACTACAAACCGGATGTGAGTAACGTAGCACTTCCGGTTTTCGAGAAATCACGTGATTTCTATTTCAAACGAAACCACACAAAATCTCCGAAGTTCTCAATTAATTAAATACTTTTTTTTTTTTAGTGAACATTTGGTTCACAGGTTTGCTAGTTTATTATCATTTACATCATCTACCGTCATTACAAATCTGGTCTTCATTTAAAATCATAGCACTTCATTGTCGTCTACCTAAGTAAAAACCTTACGAAAGTGGCATATGACAGTGAGACGTTAAGGAAAATAGGGAAAATATCAAAAAAGTATTTTTACCACAATGCTTATATAGGTATAAAAAATGCAGCATCGATATGCTTATTCGAGTAGCCGTATCGAAAAAAGATGAGTTTCCTCTTGTAACATTGTGAGAATGCGTGTTACAGCCCATCCTTATTTAATACTATTAACATCGCCGGGATGTCGATACATACAAGATCGATCGAGATATTGTCGCCTCGGGCGTTAAACGATACGAGATATTTTCGTGAGTAGGTGTGCATTCTGGTTAACGTCATGTAACATTATATACTTATTCAGGAAAATTAATATTGTGGAACTGTAGATTATTTATATGAAGAAAATTGGCCACGTGGTGCAGCACGTATGAAAAATTTATTGAGTCACTGTGATCATAAGTAAATCTAGGACTTGGAATATTCATTGCTTTCCAAGACAAACTTAGCCAGAATTTAAAAATGCAAAAAAATACTCGGTTACCTATTTAGTATTTGATCATTTTACAATAGATTTAAATTTGCTATATCTACACAAATATTTTAGCTACTAATTTTTTTTTCTTCATAATATAAACCATCTTTCTTTCTTTTTTTCACATAATATAAACTTTACAGAGATATATTGATTTGAAAAATCGCATGACATCACGTTTTGGTACAATTTTCACTTAAAAGTGACGTTACGAGTCTCTACCCCCAAACTTTGACGCGCTATAACTTTGTCATTTTTTGCTTTATTGCCCAAAGAAAAAACACGTGTCCATTATTTTTTGATCATCTAACTGACGGACTAAATAGAATTTCGTTTACTGTATCCCGTCATCACCCCTATGGTACCACGGAGTTCATGATTTTGTACTTCGATAAAATACTTTTCATATTTTGTTTGGCAAAGCTGGAGGTTTGTGTATTGCTTGTTTTTTTTCCCTTACGATTTATAAGATTTGGTCTTTACAGTCCTATCGTACACACGAGTACGCATAAATGCTGGTCTTTTCCTTTGTAAGAAAGGTTTCTCTAACTGTATCCAAAGCCGAGACAATAACGAGAATCACCTCGAACCACTTAAAATGCAAAACTCCGCGGATCCGAGAGCAATTTGATCTTTTTGTGCTCAAGTTGTAGGTGTTAATTATATTAAGATCGTTCCAGGGATGGAGAGGAATGGAGTGACGACAGCGCCGCCATTGATATTTCAATGAATGTTGAGTAGGCTCGCGATTGATCGCCCTACGGCTGGCTCCAACTAAATGCTTAACTAATCATTATTGCTACAAAAATAACGAATATTAATCATCATCCTTTTTTTTAAATGGATTGCTTAAGTTTGTGAGAAATACAGGGCATATCAGTATAAAGCATAGACAATATGATAGATTTGACAACCTCCGTAGTCGAGTGGTTTGTACGCCGAGTTTCATGGTGTCGCCGACTCGAGAGGTCCCGGGTTCGAATCCCGGTGGGGGCAGATGTTTGTGTGATGAATACGAGCATTTGTACTCTAGTCATGGATGTTTAATGTGTATTTCTATATAAAATATACTTATATACTTATGTACAATATATATATTCCGTTACTCTAGCATCCCATAACACAAGCCTTTACAGTGCTTACTTTGGGGTTAGGCTAATTAGTGTGTAAAAAAAAAATATATAGCATAATTTTGTTCGAATTGTAGTGTATGTGTGGAAAAATATCCCTCTCAGACGTCTGTCACCAAACAGCTGTTATTTAGCTTCTTATTACACTGTAGGACACACTGTACATTGTTTGTTAGGATAAAAATTAAATAATTCTGTAGACTGGAGATTTAATACATGCAACTGTATTCCTCTCATACTTGACATTAGATCGGATGGAATATTTTGGTAGGTGTTTCGTGACAACATTGTAATATCATTGCTAATAGAAGTATTAGTAATGTATTCCGTATTGAAAATTAGGCTTTACTTTTAAAAAAAAGTATAGCCTAATTTTTAAGAAGCTGATTAACACTTAGATTACTTTATTGAAAGTTACGGGTCGTTGAACGTAAGAGCCGGCTGCGACTTAGTTGAAATATGCGCCATCTCTTATTCTATATAACATGCTAGTTATTTTCCCTTTGCATATTCAAATATTATTATTTTTATTTTTAATTGTTACACTTGAGGTGAGTGAACTTACAAGGCGCCAGCGGTTAAGCTTTTGTATAGAGAAGTGTTTTTCACTTTCATATAACTAATTTTGAGTGCTGTATTTACAACTGAGAGTAGGAAGCAAGAATTGAGTTTACGTGAAACAGGAAAATTCTGATTTCGCACGAGTTTATGGACTATTGAAGCTTCTTGGCATTGGCAAACCATTTTGCCTCCTCATATAAGAAAGTACATTAAAATAAATTGTACCACCTACAGCAAAATTATCCGATATATTGTCACTAGCGGTGTTTTTGCATGGATGCTTCCTAAAAACCTTCATCAATAAGAACATAATCCTTTCTTAAGAGGCCGGCAACATTTTGTGAGACTAGTGTTGCTAGGCTTTGCCAGATGGCCGGAAAATCCAGGATTGCCCCGGAATTTTGTCCATTAATTTGACCTTATTGTCGCGGATTCCGATAATGTGCAAGTTTCATAACAAAATAATGTAATAACGAATGACACCGCTGGCCTGCTTAATTGTTTTAACTAGCGGCCCGCCCTCGATCCGCTTTGGTGTAGAGCTGAAGTGTAGACTACAGATTTTGTACTCAGGCTTGTATTATACACAATGACATTCATCTATGATTCTTCTTATACCTGCATGCAAAGTCTCAGCCCGATCGGTTTAAAATTGACAAAGTTTCATACAAACTTTCATTCAATATTTTATCCCTTTGGGGGTATAATTGATCAAAATCCTTTCTTAGCGTATGCCTACGTTATAACATCTACCTGCATGCCAAATTTCAGCCCGATCCGTCCAGTGGTTTGGGCTGTGCGTTGATAGATCACTATGTCAGTCAGTCACCTTTGAGTTTTATATATATAGAGATTCTGAGGGGTGATGGGGGTTTCAATTGATGCTTTATTTTTTCAGGGGGGGGGGATCCAAAAGCCCCGGTATTGAAAAGCCAGCATCTGGCAACCTTAGGTGTCGCAGATGTCTATTGGCGACGGTGATCACTTACCATGAGGAGAGCTGTGTTTTTTTTTTGCTGAAATTAAAACTCAGCCGTTGTTGTGAGACTACTGACTATATCAAATCTTTATAGAAAAAAATGTATAGGGATATACATATTTCACTCTTGGGGTCAAACCGAAATATTAACTTAGTGAGTATTTTACAGTAATAATCATTCATTAGACCAACGGAGCTCGCGCAAATACTGTCCAAATTACGGTGAATATAAAAGATTTCTATTCAAGCTTATAGGTGTTTGCATTGAGCGTAGTCACTCAACAGCCAATCTCACACCGCCCGCTATAATGTTTTCTATCAATATTTATTAATGTTAAAAAATGACTAGCAAACATTATACTAAGGTATGCTTTAAAAAAAGCAAGTTAAATTAGACTTATCGAGTTTGCAAAATTTAGGCATACGCACTAATTAATAAATATTTCCAACACACACCAATTAGCCTAGCCCCAAAGTAAGCACTATAAAGGCTTGTGATATGGGATACTAGGGTAACGGATATAATATATATACTGTACATATATAAGTATATTTATATAGAAATACATATAACATCCATGACTAGAGTACAAATGCTCATGTTCATCACACTAACATCTGCCCCCACCGGGATTCGAACCCGGGACCTCTCGAGTCGGTGACACCATGAAACCCGGCCTTACAAACTACTCGGCCACGGAGGTCGTTGAATTGTAGATTTGGTGGAGCTTCTTATGATAGCATTAAATTAAAAAATTAAATAATATTTTAATGTCATATTTCAATATTACCTTTATTACTTATACATATTTATTTACTACTGTAAACAGAATTATATTAAAAAAATATTGTTAATTCATATATTCCATATAAGGCTAGGGAATTATAATGCCAGTTTTGTAGCGTTCCTACATTTTCGCGCTTCCTACGGGCAGTTGCTGAAAGTCAGCATTTTGCGTAATAGGGCAGAAACACTGCTGACCTTCTGCCTATTTGCATCACTGTCACTTACTAATGACTATAATTCAGACTAGATATAGATATTAAAGAATTGTTTAAGCTAATATTCTATTAATGTCTGCAGTGATAAAATAATAATAATATTTACAACGCACACCAGTTAGCCTAACCCCAAAGTAAGCATTAT